CAAACCGGCCCCGCCCGGCAGGGGGCTTACCCTGGCGAGCCGCGTGCCAGAGGTTGCCGACTCCTGCGTTACACTGAAGCTACTGGTCTTGCCCTTTTGGGTGAGCGGGGTGAGGAGGGCTCCTCCCAGCTGTCTGAGCCACGTGGCTAGGAGGACTTGCCCCCTTAGTGAGGCCATTGGGCTGGTTTTCACGGCAGCGTGTTCTTTGTTCCGCTGCAGCTACACGCTGAGGATCATTGGCGGAGGGCCGTACTCGGAGAGCCGGATCCGCATCTACAGCCCGAGCGAAATCCTCGACTATAACACGGCAAACGGCAGGTAGGACACAGCTACCCCTGACGGAGGTCTGTGACCGCGCGGATCTGTGACTCTGGACACTTTCTCTCCCCAGCACACCGCAGAGTCTGATCTGGATGAGGGCTAATCGCACAAAACCTGCCCTTACCGATCCCGAAGGCTTCAATATCTTCTCCGGAACCGACTGTGGGATCAAGTAAGGAAATATCGGAGTGGGTACGCCGCTTTCCAGCCCCTTCCCTGCCATTCTCCACCAGGACCTGGCTTGTTCTCTTTTCATCCACTCCCAGGGCGGTTTATTCCCTGTACATTATCATTGTTCATCTGAAAGGTGCCATCGGGTAGAGCTTTGATCACAGACCGCATTAAACCCAGCGTCCTTGCAAAGCACTCTCCTGCAGGCTCAGTGGCAGGAGCAATGAAGCCTCTTTATGCAGTAGAGATAGCTACAAAGAAAGAGGGAGTGCCCAAGGCAGAGCTCAGCTGTGTGGGAAGACAAGTTTGCCTGGTTGCCAGCCTAGGGCTAGGACAGCGAGCCTGGGGAAGCAGCTGTGAGTGTGACCCTGGGAGGGAGCAGAGAGACAGGGTTTCTTGGGCACAGAGCCCACTGAAGGGGCAGATTTGGGAATTTCAGAACAAGAATCTGCCTGCGGCTGTTTGAGATGGGACTTCGTGGGGGTCCTTTGCCAATAAACCAAGAATAGACCTGATTCGTATCACTGATAGCTCATCCTAACCGAAAAAGCCCTGCGAAGCCCCAAATATTGGTTACCTGCTCGGGCCGAAGGGGCGCTGTTACGATTCATTTGTATCACGGTAGCACCTGGAGGCTAGTGCGCCGTTGTGCTGGGCACTGTGCCGACCTGTAACCACAGAGACAGCCCCTGCCTCGAACAGCTGAAATGCTTTGCACTGTGCTTCGGGAGGTGCTGGATTCCTAGGGGCAAGAGTGGTCATCACCAGCACTGAAGGCTTCCCGGCAGGCGGGCCACCCAGGGCCCACGCTCATGGCGTCTTTCCCCTCCTGCAGGTGGGTCTGTGAGCAGAACTCCCCCTGTTACGATGTGGTTCCCTTAGACCTGACAGCTCCGGATTACTTCTTTTTGGTGGAGGTGTCTAACAGGTGAGCCTTACGTGGCCCTTTAAAGCCAAGGGCATTGGGCGGCGGTGTACGCTGGGTTGCCGACCCTGGCGTCTGTCGACAATAGCCCCTGGCTCTTCTGCAGATCCCATAGCGACTCGCCCAAAGTCACCTAGCTTTCCTGAGTCCTAGTCCAGAGCTTGAGCCACTAGGCCACACTGTCCCTCCCAGGCTCCACCTCCTGGACCAGCCTCAGGGCTGCTCCAACTCACGCTTCCTAGGGGATGTCGTGAGCTGCTCTGGCATTGATACGGGCCCTTGGATTGGGTAGAAGTGGCCCCTGGAGATCACGCTTGCGCAAAGGGCTTCCTCTGCTGGCTTTGCGCTCAGCCCGTCCCAGTGGGTATGTTGGGGATGGGCATGGCCAGAACACCCTCGGCTGCAGCCGTTCTCTGCTCCTCGGGGTCTTGGGACATGGAGGATAAACTAGAGCAACCTCAAGGCTGCTCTAACTTAAACTGTAGGGCAGGCCCCTGCACAGCCCCGTAATACAGAGAGCACAACAGGGGCATAAACCCACCTTTGCCCCCTGCCCCAAGTCCAGGAATGGAGTAACTAAGAGTCAGGCCCCCTAGTCTAATGTTAAATGTCCCCCTGCCGATCTCCCCCAGCACCGTATCCAGAGCCTGGCCCTGCGCCCCCACCAGGAATCTCTCTCTCCATGTCCTGGCCATCCTTGGCTTGTTAAGAGCTCTTGCAAACCCATTTGCAAGCCACCGCTGCAGAGGCAGCGCAAGGGACGCTGGGATACCTACCCTCACCGTCCTGCGTGGAATGGGACGTGGCGGGTGGAGGCTGGCCTTGGGATGTCCCGGGGGTGGCCGCGCTCACCCGAGACGGCTGCGGGGCTTGAATGACAGCGACGGCTGCCCCGGCGACGGGGCGGCCTGTGCCCTGAGCCCCCGGGTCCATCCCTGCAGGGCCGTGGACAAAAGCACCTACTGCGACTACGACCTGGAGTTTGTGATCCACATTCACGGCCTGCGGCTCAGCCCCTCCCGGGCAATCATCTTCATGAAGGTACGGGGGGACGGGACCCGGAAGGTGATCCAGGGACCTGATCCTGCTCACTCCAGCCAGCAGGATTGTCATGCCCTCTCCAGGGACTGGTGTCGGGAGGCCAGCCGACAGGTGGGGACCACGTTGGCCCCAGTGTCGGGGAGCGCAAAGGGGCACAACCGGGGAGGTGGCCCATAGCTTTACTTGGCGATGGCTAGGAGCTGTGACAGCCTGTACGCGCTAGTCACCGCAGAGGGGCAGCCTGGAATGGCGGCCGAAGCACAAGGTGGGAGAAACCTGATGGCCGGGCCACACTGGGAACAGAACCCAGGAGTCCTGACACCCAGCACCCCCACTCTACCC